GGCGAGAGCACTGGGAGGCTGCTAAGAGGGTGCTGCGTTACCTGTGCAGTACATCAGGCATGGGGCTGGTGCTTGGAGGACGCGACAGAGTTGTCCTCACTGGTCACTCGGACGCTTCTTGGGTGGACGACCTGGCTACGCAGCGGTCGTCACAGGGTTACACCTTCAGCCTTGGCTCTGGTTCTGTCTCGTGGCGGTCCACCCGCTCTTCTTCTGTTCTCGGCTCTAGTTGTGAGGCTGAGATCTACGCCACAGCCATGGCTGCACAGGAGTTACGCTGGCTCACCTACCTGCTGACTGACTTGGGAGAGCGGCCTAGTTCTCCTCCAGTTCTGTACGGTGACAACAAGGCGGCTCTTGCCTTGTGTCAGGAGCACAGACTGGAGCACAGGACGAAGCACATTGCTCTTCGCTACTTTCTTGCTCGAGAGCTTCAGCAGCGCGGTCAGCTTCGGCTTGTGTACGTGGACTCGAAGGCCAACACTGCTGATATCTTCACCAAGGCGCTCCCGCCTAGTGATCATCAGCGGCACTGTACTTCTTTAGGCCTTGTGTCCACGTTTCCTCACTTGCTCACTGCTTGACATTCTTTGTACTGTACTTTATATATATCTTGTTGCTTGCTTGCTAGGTTTTGATCACTGTGTTGCTTGTCTTGTACTATATCTAGCACTGCATGTGAACTGGCCTTGTGGCCTTTACTTGTGCTCGGAGTGTGGTGACGTTGTGATCCACCCTGGGCTTTGTTTTGCTTTGCTGGACTGGTCTTGTGACCCTTTGTTCTCCCCCACTTTGCCTATGGGGGTGTGTTAAACTGTATTATGCTTGTAGGCTGTAGTGGGGTAGCCAATATGGGGTACAACCCCAACTAGGGTTTCATATTTGTACCCAAACTTCTGCTAGTTCAATCATTCTTGCCTAGCTATTCTGAAAGACAGGAGACTCCGCCGCGGCAGCATTTGTGGGCTCGTCGTCCGACGCTGGGGCTGTGTTGAGCGGCGCGTTCGAAGGCGACCCACTCGGCGTTGAAGGCCTGCGCTGGCGCGATGCCGGGCGGGCTGTACCCCTCGGCCGACTTGGCGACGCCGACGCCGCCGTGTGCACGTCCGTGGTTATTCCTGCTGTAGCTTGCATGGCACGACATGCAAGACGATGGGTAGTAGAGCCGCATGGGGACACAGGGGAGATAATGCGTCAGTAGTAGTTAGTGGGGTTTCGGTTTGAAGGTTAATAGCTATGTAACACATGTAGCTAACACCTTTAATCGAGATAGGCTGTTCGGGGATTATGTGATGTAAAAAACGCACATCAAAACACATACCGGCAGCAGGAGCAGTTGAAGGCAGATTAACCACATTAGCTCCAGAAAGGCTGCCTGCTAGTGCGGGCGGACGTGCATTCGCGCGATCGCCCAAGATGCGATCGAAAATGTCATAAAAGATGGGGAGTTTCGGGGGCCTGCCCTTGCCCGAGTCGTTGAGCAGGAGATCCCCCACCCGCCGATACTGCGCCTCCATCCTGAAAACCTTGGCCTTAACAGCGGCCTGGTTATGCCTGAAGTCGGGGTGGCGCTCGCGGAGCTTCTCGAATAGCATGACATCACGGTTCTGCCCCTGCAGGCGGGTCTGGCTGCGCCATTGCGCGTCGTAGTCGTGGCGGATCCACGCCAGCTGCATCACCTCGTGCGGTTCCCATCGAGGCCGGTCGGACGTGGTAGCAGGGTCAGTGTCCTCGTCTGCGATGTCTTCGACGTCGCAGTCGACCTCACCAGCGTCGAAATAAGAGAGCGTGTCGTCGGTGGCGTTAAGAGGGGTGTTGTGTGCGGGGACACGAGCTATGACTTGATCGAGGTCTATCGCGTCTAACCTGCGTGCGGTAGTATTGTCGACGGTGGCACGACGGCGGCGCGCAGGTACGGGGGAAGCAACTGGAGCATTTGTAGGTGCGGGGTTTGCAGTGGCTTCATTTCGAGAGGCTGACGTGATTGAAACTGTCCATGTTGTGGGCACGGTGTGAAAGCGTGCTATACCACCTATTTAATGCTCAGGGGTTGATGTCGGGGAGAAATTGGGGGTCGATGGAGTTGTGAGGAATGTTGGCGGGATTTCGTGGCCTCATCGTGTGCCCCGGGAGATACGCGCGCATGACCGGCCATCGTGGCACGTCGGGTGCCACGTGGTGGGCCTAGCGAGTTCAGCAATGTGTAGGGTCTTGGTTGTGATCTCATTGGCGCACGAAAGAGTCGCGAGATTCGCTGGAACCTCGTACGTGGCTGACACCACACACGTTCGGTTCTTTGTGTTTGCCGAAGTTTGATAATTCTTCCCTATCGTGTTCACAATTGAGGGTTCGCACTTCCCAAACGTGGTAATACTTTCGGATTTGGCGAAAAATCAGGCGAAATGTGACGAATAGGGTAACCATACGAAGTTCGACCCCGATTACGAACTCCATCCAATTTCACACACGTCCTTGGTACTTCTGCCAGGAGTTTCCCAGCCAGCGTCTGCATAGCTATTGGCACATATCGGCTACTACGGCTACAACGTGCGCGAAGACCGGCTTCGCGTGCTTCACGCTAGACGATCGACCGCTGCGCGTCCACGCGCGCCGCGTTTCCCTCGCTGGACCGTTGATCGCTTGCGCGACACGATCTCCGACACCCACCTGTAACCTGTCATCAGATTCTCCTCGGCTCCGTCTTCTTGGCCGCGAGGCCTCCTCGTCAGCAGCAACGTCAATCTTGAGGGCGCGTTAGGGATCGTCGTCGGTAACGCTCGCAAAATAAGTGAGCAGCAGCATCGTCACCCAACGTCGTCACCGGCGTCGTGAGCAACGGCAGCAACGTCTCGCAACGTCGTCATAAACGTCGTCACCAGCGTCGTGAGCAACGGCAGCAGCAGCAGCAGCAGAATGACGGCGCGCAAGGGGTGTCTGTTGAAGCTAAAGAAGGAGCTCGCGTCCTTCCTCAAAGAGCCTCCGCCGCACATCCCGCTGGTAACTCCCGAGACGCCTCTTAAAACCCTTCGCCGCACATTCCGCTGGTAACTCAATCGAAAGACGATACTTTTCAGGACGACTCAACACTGGCCTCGTACTGCCTGCTCGACCCTCCTCTCCTCCTCCCTTCCCCCTCCCCTCCCCCTTCCGTTCCCCTTCCCCCGTCACAAGCCCCCTCCCCAGTCCTTTCCTTCCCCCTCTCATCCCGACCAGTCTCCACTATATGAGATTCTCGCCATATTTCCGTCCCCTCCCCCACCCCTTCCCCGCGTCCCCTTCCCCAGGTGCACGTGAACGAGCGAAACATGTTAGAGTGGCGCTTCCTCCTAGAAGCCCCCCCCGACACGCCGTACCAGGGCGGGTGGTACGTGGCAAAGCTGCGCCTCTCCATTCCCCCCATCCCCCATTATCCTCCCCCTGTCCCCCGCCCCCACTACCCCCCTCCTCTCCTCTTTCCCCCAGGTGCATGTGAACGAGCGCAACATGCTAGAGTAGCACTTCCTCTCAGAAGCCCCCCCCCAACATGCCGTACCAGGGCGGGTGGTACGTGGCAAAGCTGCGCTTCCCCATTCCCCCCCATCCCCCATTATCCTTCCCCTGTCCCCCGCCCACCCCACTCCCCTCCTCTCCTCTTCCTTCCAGGTGCATGTGAACGAGCGCAACATGCTAGAGTGGCATTTCCCCTTAGAGGGCCCTCCCGACACGCCGTACCAGGGCGGGTGGTACATGGCAAAGCTGCGCTTCCCCCCATTCCAAACCATTTGCTTTCCCCTTCCCCCCTTCCAGGTGTATGTGAACGAGCGCAACATGTTGGAGTGGCACTTCTTGTTAGAGGGTCCTCCTGACACGCCCTACGAGGGCGGGTGGTACGTGGCAAAGCTGCGCTTCCCCCCGGACTACCCCTTCCGCCCGCCCTCCATCCTCATGCTTTCGCCCTCCGGCCGCTTCAAGACCAACATGCGCCTCTGCCTCTCCATCTCCGACTTCCACCCGGGTGAGTGTGGGAGTGTGGGTGGAGAGAGGTGATTAGGAAAGCGGGTAGGATAGGGTGAGGGCAAATGGGGGGAAAGGGGGGAAGGGAAGTAGAGAGAAGTGGGAGAGGCTTTTGAAATTTCTCAGAAGTGGCAGATATGCAGGGCAGATAATCTTTGCGCTTTTTTATGTGTTTGTCACGTCTCGTTCCTTTGTCTTTTGACACGTCACGTTTCTTGTGTTTCCAGGTGCCTGATGCCTTCTCTGTTCAGCGTTTGTTTCTGCACGTTCCTTTCTCTTCTCCCAGTGCCGCCTCTTCCTCTCACCCACCTCCCCTCTCTCCTGCACCCGTTATGTGACCCTCCCCTCCACTTTCCTCCCCTCCCCTTTCCTTCCCTCCCCTCCCCTCCCTCTTCTTCCCTCCCCTCCTCTCCCCTCCCCTCCACTCCTCTCACCTCCCCCCCTCCCCTCCCACCTCCCCTCCATCCTGTCCTGCCCTGCCCTGCCCTGTCTTGCCCTGCCCTGCGCTCCCCCTGCCCTGCCTGGCCCCCCCCCTGCCCTGTCCTGCCACTCGCTACTGTACACCTCACGCCATGGGGCATCAACGCAGAGAGCTGGAACCCCATGTGGTAAGCGAGTGGTGTTGTGGTACTGTTTTTGTGTGGCAATTCAGTCGTATGTTGCGTGTCGCTGTTTCAAATTCCTAAATAGAACCAACCAACGCAGCACGAAGGAATTTGCAACTGCAAGGTCAGCCCAACTCATGGCCGTGTGTGGGGGGAAGAAGTGCGGCTGCCTTTAGAGTCAACTCAGAAGTCTTCCCAACTCATGGCCATGCATGGGTGGATGAGATGATGTGAGGCTGCTTAGAATGCTTGGGCCAAGGTCGGCTTGCCTTGCTTCATCCCGCTCCGCCTCCTGCCCATCTCCCACCGACGCTGGCACCCTCCTTACTCTCTCTATGTTTGTGTGCGCGCGTCCATGCATGCAGGTCCGTAGCGACAGTGGTGATAGGCTTGCTTTCCTTTATGGTGGAGAATACCCAGACCACAGGATCGCTCGAGACCTCTGTGAGTGCTCCTGCTCCTGCCGCCGCTGCCACCACCACTGCTGCCACCGCACCGCCGCTGCCGCTGCTGCTGATGATGATGATGAGTGCATTCAGCCTTCCCCACCCTTCTCAGTATGATGAGACGTGGCTCTTTGGCACGAGACTCTGTCCCGTTTACTCTGGCCTCTCCCTACATCAACCCTCCTCAACCCATTTCCCACCTCACCACACCTCAACTCACCTCCATCTCTTCCCTTCCCTTCAGTATTATGAAAAGCTGGTGTTTGGTTGTTCATCCTGGCCTCTTCCCAGCCCACCTCACCTCACCCCACCTCACCTCACCTCACCTCACCTCCGTCTTACCTTCCCCGCCTGCATCTCCCTCGTTCCCTTCACCTCCACCCAACCCTCTCAGGACGATGAGAAGCGCGCGTTTGCACGCGAGTCAGTGTCGTTCATTCTGGCCTCCCCCCAGCTCCGCGCCATGTTCCCAGAGCTGCCCCAGCTGGTGCAGGCACAGAGAGAGAAGGGGGAGAAGGGGGAGAAGGGGGAGAAGGGGGAGAAGGGGGAGAAGGGGGAGAAGGGGGAGAAGGGGGAGAAGGGGGAGAAGGGGGAGAAGGGGGAGAAGGGGGAGAAGGGGGAGAAGGGGGAGAAGGGGGGGAGAAGGGGGAGAAGGGGGAGAAGGGGGAGAAGGGGGAGAAGGGGGAGAAGGGGGAGAAGGGGGAGAAGGGGGAGAAGGGGGAGAAGGGGGAGAAGGGGGAGAAGGGGGAGAAGGGGGAGAAGGGGGAGAAGGGGGAGAAGGGGGAGAAGGGGGAGAAGGGGGAGAAGGGGGAGAAGGGGGAGAAGGGGGAGAAGGGGGAGAAGGGGGAGAAGGGGGAGAAGGGGGAGAAGGGGGAGAAGGGGGAGAAGGGGGAGAAGGGGGAGAAGGGGGAGAAGGGGGAGAAGGGGGAGAAGGGGGAGAAGGGGGAGAAGGGGGAGAAGGGGGAGAAGGGGGAGAAGGGGGAGAAGGGGGAGAAGGGGGAGAAGGGGGAGAAGGGGGAGAAGGGGGAGAAGGGGGAGAAGGGGGAGAAGGGGGAGAAGGGGGAGAAGGGGGAGAAGGGGGGGAGAAGGGGGAGAAGGGGGAGAAGGGGGAGAAGGGGGAGAAGGGGGAGAAGGGGGAGAAGGGGGAGAAGGGGGAGAAGGGGGGAGAAGGGGGAGAAGGGGGAGAAGGGGGAGAAGGGGGAGAAGGGGGAGAAGGGGGAGAAGGAGAGTGAGGTAGAGGGGAAGGAGAGAGAGACGGGGAAGGCGGGGCAAGAGGGGGTTAAAGGGAAGGAGGGGGGGAAACAGGAAGAGAAGGAGGATGGGGAGGAGGATAAACGGGAACCGGAAGAAGGGGGGCAAGGGCAAGGAGGGGAGGCAAGCATGGGAAGAAAGGAGGGAGAGGAGAGGAAAGAGGGAAAAGAGAGAGGAGAGGAGGGTAATGGAGCAGCGTCAGCAGCAACGCTCCCTGCCTCCTCTGCTTTCCTGAATCGCCTGCTCTCTGCTGAAAGCAGGCTGCTGGGTGGAACACAGGAGCAGCTTGCAAGCTGTAGGGATGGTGGGACTGGTGGTGGTGGTGAGGGTAGCAGTGGTGGTGGTGGTGGTGGGAGGAGAGAGATTGAGGGAGGGGATCCGGAGGGGGCTCTGGAGGAGATTGAAGGGATGTTGAGGGAAGTGGGGGTTGGCAGGAGGGAGGCGGAGGGGGAAGGAGAGAACGGGAGTGAGAGAGGAGGAAAGGAGGGAGAGGTTGACGAGCAGGGGAGTGAGTTGCACAAGTGGAAAGACCGGCTACTCATGTGCAAGGTGCGATGCGGTGCAGAACGGTGGAGTGCTGTTGAGTTTCGTATGCTGTTGAGTTTCGCATGCTTGTGTGACGTGTGATCTGAGCACTAGGTCATAGTTATTTCCCATTATTGATACAACGTTTGGAGCATATCATGAAAAGAAAGGTGAGAAAGGTTGGGAACGTATATGCATGCACTCAAAAATGCCCTACCTTTCCTGCGTCTCCTGCGTCTCCTGCCTCTCCTGCCTCTCCTGCCTCTCCTGCCGCCTCTGTCTCTCCTACTTCTACAGGCTGAGTCGCTGGTGGTGACTGGAGATTTTGACAAGGCACTCTCCATCCTTTCGTCCCTCCACCACCTCCTCCTCCTCCTCCTCCTCCTCCCCCTCCAGATGACTATCGAGTCGACTTAATACCCACATTGTTGTGTCTCGACCCTGTTCAACCTCCTTGTCTCTGCAGGCTGAAACGCTGGTGGTCACTGGAGACTTTGACAAGGCACTCTCCATCCTCTCGTCCCTCCACCACCACCTCCTCCACGTCCACTCCCCTTCGCTCTCCACCGCTCCCTCCTCCTCTACCTCTCCTGCTCTTACGAAAGCTGATGAACGCAACGAGGAGGGTCATGCTGGGGGCAGTGAGACAGGGGCTGGGGACGGAAACAGCAGCAGCAGCAGCAGCAGCAAGGGTCCGTGGGTGGTTGGTGCTTCGTCCTGGCTGCGACCCCAAGTCAACCTCGAAGAGGTGAGAGGTGCGCTGGGACAGGCAAGTAGTTTCGAAGTCGACCTAAGTTGATTTAGAAGGAAGCGGCAGTAAGGGGCAATGGGTGGTAGGTGTTTCATTCCGGCTGCGATCACAAGTCACACTGGAAGAGGTGAGAGGTGCGCTGAGTTAGGCAAGACAGCTACCTTACTTGCCTACTCACCCGCAGCTCATTCTGCTCTTCGCTGCTCGATTTTTTTTTGCTGTTCAAATGTTGCATTTTGCCAGGTCAACCCGCTTCTGGTTCTTTGCTTCAGGCACCTTCATGTTCCCCGTCCTGTTCCCCCCTTCTCTAGGTCGAATCATTCCGGGTGCGAGTGGAGGGAGCGGGTGGCCACAGAGCCAGGGGCGCAGAGCAGTACAAGAAGCGGTCCATGGCAGCAGCAGTGCGCGCATTCTCCACCGCCAAGTCCTTTGTGCTCTCCTGCGCTGCCCTCCACTTCAACCTCGCGGCCGCCCTCGCTGCTCTTGCTCGGTGCGTTGCTGTTCTAGACTGGTGTGTTGCTGCTCTTGCAGGGTCCGGTTCGGTCCTCCGGTCCGATGCTGTTGTGCTGCACTGATGCTCGCCATTCCATGCAGTTTTCTCCACTGTATTTACTCTCCCTACACCCTCCACAACAGCCCCTCACCCTGGCAGTTCCACTTATCACACACTTATTCCACTCCACCTCTCCCTTCTCTCTTCCACCCCCCCCTTTCTCTTCCCTCTCCTCCCACACACTGCAGGCACGAGGAGGCAGTAGCAGCATGTGACGAGGCACTAGCTCTGATAGCAACACACAGCAAGGCGAGGAAGAGGCGTGCTGACAGCCTGGCAGCCCTGGGCAGGCATGCAGAGGCCGCAGCAGAGTACCTGCTGCTGCTGCAGCTGCAGCCAGGGGAGAGAAAGTGGGAGCAGATGGCAGAAGACCAGGCGAGCAAGGCTCAGAGTACTGCTGGCGGCGGCAGCAGCAATACCTAGCAGCAGCAACGAGGGTGGCAGAGCTGCAAGTGACAGCAGGTTATTCGTTGGGTTCTGCAAATCATTGTTTTCTGTAGGCTTGACTGGATTGTACTTCACAAAATCGTTTCTTTTCTTTTGTTTGAGATTTGTGCACTCAGCCAGAGTGTCAGTGTTGGGGCTGCCTCATCTTCACTTTCAGTTGGTTATCTCATTGTGTACCAGACAAGGGGTACCGTAATGACAGACGCAACTTCCTGGAGAGTCTGGTTGCAACTGCTCAAGCAACTTTGATCTAGTATGGCTGTTATAATATTGGTTCAATCCATTAGTTGTTTATTTCTCATTACCGTATGCTCAGCAGACAGTCACACACGCAGCATCACCAAAAGCGACCTTGATCGCATCTTTCATCAAGTCTGTTTGACAAGGAAAGAGCAAGCTCGAGCTAAGCAATGCCTAAACATGGCCCAGCAAGCAAAACCCCAGCCCCATCACACAGCTTTGCACCGATCACCCTACTCGTCACCGCCTTCCTTCTTGTACACGTAAGTCAGCCCGCACTTGCCGCAGTAATGGCGGTCGAAGTGGTTAGCCATGAAGGTACCCGGGCCGCAGTCAGGGTTCGGGCACTCCTTACGCAGGCGCTGCACCTTTCCGCTGTCGTCCACCTTGTAAAACTGCAGCACCGCGAGTTTCACCTTCTTCTTCTTGTGCTTGATCTTCTTAGGCTTGGTGTACGTCTTCTTTTTGCGCTTCTTCGCACCACCACGCAGGCGCAGCACCAGATGAAGAGTCGACTCCTTCTGGATGTTGTAATCCGCGAGCGTGCGGCCGTCCTCGAGCTGCTTGCCGGCGAAGATCAGGCGCTGCTGGTCCGGAGGGATTCCCTCCTTGTCCTGGATCTTGGCCTTCACATTGTCGATCGTGTCGGACGACTCCACCTCAAGGGTGATAGTCTTGCCCGTCACTGAAACAAGAGGAGACGCAAGAGAAAGTATTTAAACGTGAAAAAGAGTTGATTAAACGGTTAATATATCAGACAGGGGTCGGCGGGGGGGAGCGTAACGCGGATTGATTAAGAGAGAAGTCTAGAGGATCCAACTGGGTGTAAGAAGAGGGCAGAATAGTGCGACGACGTAAGCATGAAGGAAACAAAGCTATATAGCGAAGGAGTCGGAAGATGGGCAACACATGGATTCAGATGTGAAACTACGACAAATGATCAGGGCAGGACATAACAGCAAGTCGAACATGGGCAGAATGGCTTCTACGGAGCCAAACCAATAACTGGGGGACACGACGAACGAGCTAGACGGGAAAACGCAAGCACAAGGAGGTAGGATACTGCATTATCTAGAACAAGAACAACGGCACAGCAGACTTAATACGCTTAGCAGGAAAAGTGGGGAAGGAGACGAAGGAATGGCACAGCCATAACACCATCTAAAAGGAATATAACAGGGATCGCGATGCTTACGGGTCTTCACGAAGATCTGCATGGCTGCTGACTGTCTAAACCAACTAAGAAACTCTGTACGTCCGCTTAATCGCCTCCTCGCGCGCCTCGGTGTTCCCTCTCAGGACTATTCCGTCGTTAAGGGACTCCGGGTTCCCCCTCCAAGTGAAAAAGAGACCAAGCGAAGGGGAGAGGTGGTAGTTTATAGGGCCTGCGGAAGGGGTGCTCCTTGCTCCCCTCACGCCCCCGCCTGAAACTTTTTGGGGTTTGATTTCGCGCATCCAACAGCTGATCAAAGCATTACATTTTTTGGTGTACCAAGGACGGAAACAAACACATTTCATCTACAGCAAATTGGACAAGAAATCTCAGTATATTTGCAACTTCTTTATTCATTGCTCGATTTATTGGTGATTTTTACAAACTTATAATGTATGTGAATGAAATTTATATGGATGTTATATTGAGGAGATAACAAACAAGCACCGTATGTATTGAAGACCGAGTTTTGTGAAGAAATGGGGCTGTGCCTCACTTGGAAATAGGAGATGCGTGAGCAAAATAGGAATTTTTTCATGCATAATTTGACAGGAAACAATACCGTAACTTCACAATGGTGTACCAATGTCCCTGTCGTGGACATACATACCGTATGATACCACTTTAAAGAGCTACATACAGCAATAAGGAATCCATGGGTTAAAAAAATTACAGGTAGAACCAACTGACAGGAATTGGATACAATACATTGCAAGCAGGGCTCAGGTTATCAGTGTAATTTACCCTTCTATACTGCTGACAAGGGTAAAATTTTCAATGTACACTGATGGCCTGGGGTAAATTTTCAATGTACACTGCTGATTAGTGTTACACTGATCTGTAAGTGTATTGGTTTAGTCCACACTGATGCTCTGGGGTAATGTTTCCGGTAGCGAGGTTTACACTGAAGGGCGTACAGACCCCCCCCCCCCTGTTCCCGGGAAGTTGTCAGATTGTGATTTCCGTCAATCACTCAAGTACCGAGGGTACCTTTTATACAGTATGTGCGTTGGCAGCAGTCACCTCTCCCATTGGTCCGTTTGGAATAATTCCCTAGCCAGCTCGCCACGAAACCTGGTGTTGCCATCAAGTACAGTATTGCTGCCTGAATCTGGTGGTTTCACTAGGACCACATTCAGATGGTCGGTGCGTGCACTTGTCATCCATCTCCCCGACCGAGGCGCACTCGGTGTATCGGTCTGGATGCATTGCCTTGTGGGTAGGGCAAGCACAGATGCAGTGTCGCCCCGCACCGTCGTTCCACCATCCCCACCTAGTTCCTCTTGTTCTAACCTCCCTCCCTAGCAGCCGAGCGACGTCTACCTCGTTGCCATGGCAGCCCCTGGAGACCTGGACGCTGACGATGCAGATGATGGAGACCCTTCCAGTAGCAACAGGCCTAGGACTGGCCTCGATTTCTTGAAAGGCAATGCTTCTGAACCAGGACCCAGCACTTTCGCCGAACCCTATGTTGACAGTGAGGGGTGGCATCATCCAGTGCGCACAGCAGTGCGGCAATCACCACCGCGCCAGGAGGAGGTAGAGGACGAGGAAGCTGAATGGCAACGTCCCACTCGCATTGAGGGGGACCCCGTCGCGCGCGACAACGTGGAAACGACGGAGGTCGTTACCGAAGCACCGGAGTCTTCTAACTCGGTGGCGCTGAAACGACGGCGCTACACGCATACCACCATTGGGTTTGCGAGCGGCACGCCTCTCGTGAGGCCTCCACCACCGCCACCTCCCAAGGTCACTCCAGCGCCGTCACCTCTTAAGCTGACTGCAGCTGAACGCGCGGAGGCGAAGTTCCTGGAAGCTCAGCGAAACTACATCACGAAATGGCTCCCGCAGTTTGATTGGCTGTTGCTCGACAAGGGTGAGGATGGTCTGCCATGCTTGCGTTGCAGTGTGTGCAGTGAACATGGCCCAGACAACGCTCGTTACGGGAGGAATGGATGTGGTGGACGCGACTTGCAGCCAGCGTCGATGCGGGCGCACCAGGCCAGCACTCGACACGAGGAGTGCATCGAGCGGCAGCAGGGGCTTCTGGACAAGTTGGCTGCGCAGAAGAAGATCGACGACTACGAGAGAGCAGACCCTGAGGGCGCGCGCGTCATCAGGCTCATGCGGAGCATTCAATTTGTGTGCGACGAGGACGCACCGATCTCAATGTACCCAAGGCTCGTGGAGTTTCTGGCCAGAGAGGGTGTTTCGGACATTCCTCTACAGACCTACGGTGTTTATATCATGGAGTGAGTGCTGTTCATGCTTTCCCATATTCTGTTAATGAATACATATCATTTGGATGCTAACCCATGTTTGCGCGAATTGCAGGTACGGGTTCAAGGAGATGGTGAAGGCGATGTGCACTTATCAGCAGCAGCAACAGCTGATGTACATACACGCGTCACCTTGGATCGGCATCAGCTGTGACGAGAGCACAGACAGAGCGCGCGGGAAGCATCTGGTAGTTTTCGTGACGTTCGTGAAGGATCGGCAAGTGGCGACAGAATTCTTCGCGCTGCTAACCGTGCAGAAGTGTGATGCTGCGAGTATCTTCACCGTCCTCCTAAACCACCTGGAGACCGTCGGTCTAGAACTGCAGCGGATCGTCGCCATCAGCACCGACGGAGCGGGTGTGATGGTTGGCTGCGAGCGGGGTTTGACGGTGCGCCTCCGTGAGCGCATCCCTCATCTCGTCGGCACGCACTGCATAGCACACAGATATGCGACGTCAATGGTTTTCCCGTATTGTTCAGTCAGGCAACTTCAAGTGTTCTGACAGTTTTTTAAAACCATGTGCAGAGAAGTACTTGCAGTGAAGGAGTCTGCACTGAAGTACAAAGACCTCGACTTCGTGGACGCAGCTATCCGTGGGCTCGGCGACATCGTCACGAAGTCGTCCGTCTGGCACGAGCGCTTCAAGGAGCTGCAACAAGAGATCCACAAGACAAACCTCGAGCACCAGGGCCTTTTCAACGTGAGGTGGTTGTCGCGTGGAGACGCCGTGCAGCGGCTGTGCAAGGTCCTAGGTGCGGCGGTCGTAGTCTTCATCGAGTACGGCCACAAGTTAGCCGCCACGGTGCAGACTCTGAAGTTCCACTTCTGCGTCTACTTCCTGGCGGATCTCCTGGCTGAGATCAACACCCTCAACAAGTTTTTCCAGCGCCGGAGAGTAAGCTATTTATAGTTTGATGTTTACTGTAGTCGGAGTTATGCATTTTGGGTTGTTAGCTCTTACCGCTGTCAACGTGTTTCCGCCACGATTACAGGTTGACATCACGCTCGTGCACCAGGAGGTGGACCGCACGATTGCCTGCATCAGGCTGCGCTACGTGGAGTACGACGAGAGCGGTTTTGGGGGAGGACTCAGCAAGCTGCTTACGCCATTCATCGCTCGCATGGCCAAAGGGAACAGGACGATCAAGGTGGACGGCGTGGATGCGGAAGGCGAGGCAACATCGCATGAGATCGTGCTGACCGAGACGCCGATAAAGGGACACAGGTACGGCGGAACGATGGCCGACTGCATCAAGCTGTGCAAGGTGTTTGCTCTGGAGGTGGCGACAAACCTGCACACACGCATGTACAGCCTGAAGGAGATGGAGGGCAGCAAACTGTACAAGGTAGAGTCGTGGCCAGAGGCGAAAGACAAACGGGAGCGACGAGTGGTGCAGTGGTTGGACGCCAACGCGCGTGTCTTCAAAAACAGGCTGCCAGGTGTGCTGTTGACCACGTGTACATAGCTATTCTACTGTTCACACTGTGTTCGTGGTGCCAACATGGATCCCACAAACCTGTTGACTGATATCATTTTTGAACTTTTTTTGTCAATTTATGTTGCAGAGTTCAACCACCGTGCGGCCGAGCTAGAACTGAAGAGCTTCTGCCACGTCATGTCGCGCCACTACGAGGACGAGGACTTCTACCAAGGGCTTGCAAAGATGCTGAAAACCAAGGACTGGCCACGCAGCTTCCCGAACCTGGTATCGATGTGGCAGGCGCTTGCAGTCATTCCGCTAAGTACCGTGGAGTGCGAGCGCGGATTCAGCCGGCAAAACGTCATCAAGAGCTGGATGCGCACATCGCTCGGCGACGCCCGGCTATCCGAGCTGATGACCCTCAACATGCTGGACTACGAGTACAAGTGGCCCGATGTGGTGGACATCTGGCGGAAGCAGAAGAAGAGGAGACCCGCAAAAACACCCGCCCCGTACAAGCAGTGTGCTGGAAAGGGCAAGGCTGTAGTGGAGTCGTCTGATAGCGAGGACAACCATGATGTAGAGTGAATGAGTACAATTTAATATTACAGAATGGCATACTAAAGAAAAAAGACTAAGCATACATCCATCAGTGCACGGAATAAACCTACACTGATGACCTAGTGTAAAATTCTCAAAACAAGGAGTTACACTGCAAGATCAGTGTACTGGAAAATTTCACACTGCTCATAAGTGTTTTTGAAAAGGCCACACTGCCAATCGTGAGTTAGCCAAAACCAAACCTGAGCCCTGATTGCAAGCATAACACAGCCATGGATTCAGTTTTCCAGTTAATCTCTGATGTGGTATTCCACTTTTGTGAGGACGAGCTAGTTAGCTAAGCACAAGCCCTGCACAAAACGTTCTTCACAACCAAGTGGCACCTGGTTTCCCTGCCACCACCATTTGTCTTTCTGGTAGCCATAGTATGTTGCATCCCGGAGTGTCGTCGAAACTCTCCCAGCATTGCTCGTCTGCCTACACATTACAGTTGCTGCTCACAATGCCGCCAAGGCAGCGACCGGAGAACTCAGTCGCCCAAGCGCGGCAATCTGGAGAGGAGCACGAGGGGCTTAGAGCCAGACGAAATGGACCCTTGGAGTAGACGCAGCACGCGCTGGCCTTGCATTGGGGGACTGCAAGAACACGAACCAAGAGAAGAAACGTACAGGAAAGAAGTTGGAACGTGTTGTAGAAAATAATACAAAGATACAAAGGCATTGGGAATACGCAGAGGCAAGAAGTGAAGCAGCAAACTCCTTATTGCAGCATCGTTTGCCGAGAATTATAGCTTGATATGCAGTCTCCCGTCTGCTGGAAATTGAGAGGTTCACGTCATGAGACGACAATGACTGATTGTCATGATATTCACTAACGTGAGGTGTCAGAACACGTACGTTTCGTTACGATGTTGCAAGCTGAGTCGACGGCGTATGTGCAGTCGCCCGTGACGCTAACGAGGCCCTTAGGAGGAATGACCGCGTCAAGCGGCGAGACTGGCTGGCTGATGGGGAGCAGCGTGCTGTACGTGACTACTTTGAACGACACCGTGCCATCCTCTGCGTCCTGTCGACCACACACGGTGTAAAGGTCGACATTCGCGAATGCGGAAGGGATCCGTATGACGATCGCGAGGAGGAGAAGGATAAGGAGGGTAGGAAGCGCGGGAATCGTACGGATGAGCCGTGCCATAATGGCAGATGAAGACCTCTCGCCTTAAAATGAAACGAGCTCGCCTCTTCTGAAGCAAGACTATGATGCAAAGCAGTATCAAGGTGAAAGTTTGTTGAAGACTACTGAGGAGCTCCGTGAATTTACAAGACATCCGGCTTCGAGTCCCAGTAGAAGACACCTGCGGCGCGGGGCTTTACGTCAAACTTCATGTTTTCCAAGTACACCCGGCTGTAGTCTCAAAATTAACTGTGTCTCGTGCGGGGCGACGCGTCATCCGCGAAATTCTTCGAGAATATTCGACGTCGTTCATTGCGGCCACGACAGCAATGTACGTAACGACAAGCCTCTTGACCTCGCCCCGACGAAGCGCGTTTCCTCTGTTTGACCCCGCTTCTTTCATCCCGCACCTCCTAAAATCAAATCTACTTTTCGAACTGTTGACCGTACCTCGCCTCCTAACCATTCTGGGATGTGGCCTCCCTTCCTGCTGTGCCCCGCCAGCCAATGGTTTGGGAAACCAGACCCTCGACCTTCCGCTTCTGCTCGCTATTGGCTGGACACCCTCCCTTTTGGCTTGGACTACCAACGACTGCTACTGTAGCAGCTGAATCACACAGACAAATCGGTGCACTGCGCACGGGTGTTTTTCCGTGGCTGTTGTCATACCTTGCTTCCGTACCAGCTCAGTCGCAGTGTCTCTTTTGGCCGAACCTCACGGAAAACGCAAGATTATCCCTGTTTGCCAGCTCCGTTCATTTTATCAGGAAATATAGGGAATTCTTTTGTTCCTTCAGTCGGAGCTTATACGGTGTTCCTTATATGGAGTCGTTAGTTCGTATCCGCTTGATGCTTGCGGTTCCACGTCAGACATACCTATGAAGCATGCGAGCTACCAATTCGTCAGTTACATGCCACACTAGAGGGGGAGGACCCACCACACACTAATCGCGTCCGTAGAAATAATCATATCCGACGGTTTACACCAATCGGGGATTGAACTGGCTGGTGGAGAGATTCGCGCCGTTTGGCACGTTGAGGTTGCCCAGGCCAGCCCGAGGGCGTGGCGTTGCCAGAATGTTGCCAAATGCACCATGCAAATAACCGATTCAACCTTGCTGAAAGCTTTCAAACCAGCCGAATTCGTGAAAACACTCGGTAAAAGAGCTCCATTCTAATCGAAACTTTCCAGGTGTTGTGGAAATTCTGGGGAGCTGTCGTGCCACCTCGAGCTTCGAGCTGTTCGGGTCGTCGTCACGTCATTCGCTGGTATTTACTCGTCTGCAGCCCATGAAACACGGTGGATCCACCTTGGAGTCTGGCTGAGTTGTTCGGCATTTTGAAGTTGTGGAGGCTTTTCAGGAAAACTCCTATGTTGAAACTTCAAAGCATAATATTGAATCCGTTCCATCGTCCAGCTTCAATGGATGTATGGTGTGCACTTAGCATCCATCGCCCAGCCTGTACAAGCAATAAGAGCGTATTACGTCTGGCTGATACTTGCCGCTACTTAACTCTTAGTCTGCTCTCCTAGTTGCCCCGCCAATTTTCAAGTTTCACGTTTGTAGGCCATGAACAACCACTTTTAAAACGTCACTGAAGTTCTATCATATCCAGAACATGACCAACACTCATCCCTCTCCGCGCTTCCGTCAGGGAGCCAATGGCAATCCCACCGCGTCATCCCCAACAGGATCGACTTTAACGGAACCTCTATTATCGGGCACGGACACCAGCCGACGGCCCTCCGTCATCACCGGGACCCAATCCAAGTCCCAATCCCCGAGCAGCAGCAGCGGCGGCGACCGCAGCGAGACACACGGCGGAATACACGGCGGGATTCACAGCCCGGGCGGCAGCAGCAGCAGCAGTCACAGACTCTCTTCCGCAACAAAAACATTGGGGAATCTGATAGTATCCATTGTGGGAGCGGGGGTGCTGGGGCTGCCATACGCGTTCAAGCAGAGCGGGTGGTTGTTCTCGCTCGTATGTCTCGCGGCCATGGCGTGCGTGTCGTACTACGGAATGGTGCTGCTCGTCGCCGCGCGGCAGTTCGTGGAAGACGACGCGAATAACGCAACTGCCGCTGCATCAGCAGCAGCAGCATCAACAGCATCGTCATCAGCAGTAGCAGCATCAGCAGCAACAGCGACAGAAGGGATTGCAGGTGCAGGTTCGACAGGCCGGTCGGTTCAGACTTCGGGTGATGCAGGCTCCGGGGGTGACGTAGAAAGCGGTCCTGAGAAAGGGGGAGCGGCGAGGGAGCGAGCGGGGAGGGAGGGAGCGGGAAGCAGAGCTGGGGAGGTGTACGTGGTGAAGGTGAATTCGTACGGCGACTTGGGGTTCAGGCTGTACGGTGTGTGGGGCAGAGTGGCGGTAGATGCCATGATGCTCATTAGCCAGGGCGGCTTCTGCGTGGCGTACCTCATATTCATAGGCCAGAACGTGTCCAGCGTGCTTTCACACTCTACCAGACACAAGACGCTCGTCATTGCCGCCGTTGGTACGTGGCTGGTTTTTGAGACGGGTCAATAGGTTCTGTGTGACGTACCTGATACATATTCATAGGCCAGAACGAGTCCAGTGTGCTCTCGCACTCCACCAAATACAAGACACTTGTCATTGCTGCAGTTGCTACGTTGCAGGAGGCTGCTGGTAGGTGGTAAAGGGTACGTGTATGGTGATGGGGTAAGGTGCATGGTAGCATGTGTGTGCACAAGTGCACTCGCGTAACCTTGTGCACGAAGGTTACACTTGTGCCTCGTGTATGCAGTCCCACCACTCGTCCACTCTCTGTCTGCCTCCTTTTCACTTGTGTCCAGTTTCAAACCATTTGATAATCCGCAACCTTTAGGATTATCAATGCATCCATATTGCGTCTCCTTCATTTCCATCACACTTCTAACTGTTCTTCCACTCCACTACCTTTCTCCTTCTCGTCTTGTAATTCCTCCATAATCCATCCTTCTCCCCCTCTGCCTAATGTCTCATTTATAAAATTCCACACTCCGCTGCTCTCGTCCGGTCCCTCTTTCCCTCCCCCCTTCAGCGCCCTTAGAGGTTCTGCTCTCTTGGATGCGCTCTCTCACGCGCCTTGCTCCTTTCAGGTATTCTCTTTCAGGGAACCCCTTGCACGTGTAACCCATTCAGGTAACGGTTTTCCACAGAACCTTTTTCAGGTACTCTTTTCAGCCTCTGGGAACCCTTTTCAGCCTTTCAGGTAACGTTTTTGGCCCCTTGTTTGTTCTCAAGGTTGTCACACTCATGCTGAATTCACCTCACATTTTCACTTGTCCTCACCTTTTAATGCCGAACCCCTATTGTGCATCGCTCCCACCTCTCTTATACTCCCCGCACGTGGCCCCCCATTCCTCCACCCCCTTTACAACACCTCCTTTACAGACTTCATTTCCCCTTTTCCCCACTGTCTCCCATTCCCCGTCATGTTCCCCTGCACCCCCCTCCCTAGCCACCCACCGCCCTCCTTCTGCACCCCCTCACTCACCCTCCTCACGTCCTCACCCTCCCTCTCCACGCCTCACCCCCACCTCTCCACCCCGCACCCTCCCTCTCCACCCCTCCCTCTCCAGCATATTTGCGGACGTGGCCAACATCTCAGCCTTCGCCCTGGTCATCTGCTATGGCATCCTCTCCTTCCACGGCTTCTCCCACCTCTCCGCCTTTACGGGCCTCTCCAATGCGCCCATGGCTCTCGGCGTAGCAGTCTACGCATTCGAGGGCGTCGGCATGACTCTCCCCTTGCAGGCCTCCATGAAACAGCCCAGCCGGTTCCCCTCGGTTCTCGCGCTCGGCCTCGGGATCATCTCAGTGACTTATGCAGCGGTTGGCCTGGCGGGGTATGTAGGATACGGGGAGGATACTCAAGAAATTATCACGCTGAATTTGCCGCCGGGGTGGCCGTCAGAAGCAGTGAAGCTGGGGATCTGCGCTGCTCTCTTCTTCACATTCCCAGTCATGATGCATCCGGTGCATGAGATTTACGAGCGCCGGCTCTACCTCTCTCCCTGGGTGCAACGGCACGTGCTTTCGAACAATACCCTTCGCCGCACGCTTTTCCGCTCGCTCCGTTCAATGGCTGTCTTGGCAGTGGCGCTGGTGGCTGTGGGCGTGCCGCATTTCTCGGCGTTCATCTCCCTTATAGGCTGCAGTGTATGCTCCGCATTAGCCTTTGTCTTCCCTGCACTGTTTCATCTGAAGGCCTGTAAAGGCCGGACGAGTGGGGTGGTGGTGGCTGGGAACTGGTTTCTGGTGGTGTTTGGGGTGGCGTTTGGCTTCTGGGGGACGCTAGATGCTGTCAGGAGATTTCAACAAGGGTGAGGAGGGTTGGATGGAAGGGGTGGGTGAATGGAGAGGGAGAGGATCGTGGTGGAGGCAGAAGCAGCAGGCATACTGGTGGAGCAGAGGGAAGAGAATACGACGCAGTGAAGGAGGAAAGATAGGTACGTGAGGAGAAGATGCATCAAGGTATTAGCTGGTGCCGTTCGATTGGGCAGCACTTGACATGGGTCTTGTGGGGCCAATGAGGGTGCATTGTGGCGCACGTGCAATGTTGACGAAGGATTTGGCAAGGCAGGCGATGCTTAAGCATCAAAACGGCGACTTTCTACGAGCATGTTTAGTTCCTTAGCATGTATACAAATTCTGTAACAATGTGTTAATGCCATGAATAAATTGACACGGCGAAATAACATAGCTGCATTGAAGTCTCAAGTTTGTTCCAAACGAAGAAAAACCTTGTAGAAAATCATTCTACAGTGTCACATCTTTCGGTACAGTGTCACTCGTACGGAGTCAAAATTGCAAATTCGGAAATTTGAATTCTGAAATCGACTCGCGCGCCGCACAACCTTCCCACGCAATACATGCCAGGTGGGGTGGTTGGGGTGGAGAGGAGCGAGCGCAAGCAGACGTGACGTGACGGCCAAACCGAGACGGTTCAAAAGCTGCCACGAATGCGGACGCATGCGACTTGAAATGAGACCGCTCGTATTCCTCATCTGCTCTTGCTTGTTCCTACATTTATGAACGGGAAAGTCTATCCCAGCTCCTGACTTTCAGTTTTTTCTCATATTTAGCCCTATGTTTACTCAAAAAGCACCACTTTCCATTATTTCTCTCACGCGAGGCCCAAAGTATGTTCAAAACTGGTCCTGCGGGGCGAAGTTTTCGACACGTGTCGTTTTGTTACCAGCTGACGCACTTCCACTCTGAACTAACCGTTTGTCAGGGCAATTTTCGCGCCGGAAAAGTTTTTACGGGACAAAAAAACATAAAACCCCTAAAGGACCATTACACATTTTCGGGAGGGAGCAACCCTAAACACGGGACCTGCTAGGTGTTTAGGGTTGATCCCTCCCGCGAATGTGTCCTGGTTCTCTAGGGGTTTTATGTTTTTTGCCCCCGTCCAAATTTTCCATGCGTGGAAGTTATTCAGATGGTGTAACAAGAGGACACGTGTCGAAAAAATCGCCCCGCAGGACCACTTTTGAACATACTTTGGGCCTCGCGTGAGAGAAATTCTAGAAAGTGGTGCTTTTTGAGTAAACCTAGGGCTGAATATGAGAGAAATCTGAAAGTCAGGAGCGGGGATATACTTTCCCTCTATGAACTTCTCTTGTTGTCTTTGGCAGAACCCCAACCTAGCTCCTCACGGTTTTGTTGTTTCCAGTTCTCACCTCGTCAAACGCCGTTCGCGCTTCTTCGTATAATAATCTGGTTCGCCAGGCTGAGCCCTAGCATTACAGTGACGTCACAGCAACAAATCCAAGCTGCCGGCTCGCCGTCATCATGAAGCGCGGTGACCGTTGCCGTCTGCTGTCTCTCCCGGACGAGATTCTCGAGTTTATCCTCAGCACCGTCACGCACCCATCCGACCGTTGCAACGTCGCGCTCGTCTGCTCCCGCTTCAACCGCATCTCGCGCCGCACGCCGCACTCGATGCTCGTCGAGTTCATGAGTTATCAGCGCTGGGGTTCCAAAGTCCGGGATTGGTTGAGCGAGTTCGACATTAAATCGAGGGCATTTCCCCGCATTACCAGTGTGACCGTCCTCCTGTCGAACACCCTGCGAGACTATCTACTGGCGGGTATTGGTGCCACGTGCGGGCAGCTGAAAGAGTTAAAGCTGTTTGCGGTGGACTGGGAGAGTTTCGAAGCCACTGCTAGTGGGTGGCGGTCGCTTGCTCGGCAATGCCCGTGAGTAGCCTGCCTTGGGGATCTCCGAACGGTACAGATATCTCCCCCCACCGTGAAGTTAAAGTAGCGCCCTGTTTGTCGTTTCCTCCGCTTCGTTACAGTCACTTCAGTGAACCCTTTCTCATCACCATTACTCTTCCTTCGCACCTTTCACCTCATCAACTCAACTGCCCCCTCTCTGGTCTCTCCCCTGTCCCCCACCCTGACCACTCCTTTCAGCCATCTGACTCATCTCGAGCTCAGCTCCCGTTTCGTCCGCAATACATCCCGCCGCCGCTACGAAGACAGGACCCCCCTGCCGCCTCTCCACGCCTTCCCCTCGCTCCGCTCCGTAACCCTCGGCTTCCACCCCAAGGAAATCTCCCCCCTCCTCCGCTGCTCCGCGCTCACATCTCTCTCCCTCTGGCAGCCCACCGGCGGCGACCTCGCCTGCCTCGCTTCTCCCTGCTTCTCCCCCTCCTTCCGCTCGTCTCTCCAGTCCCTCACCATTCAATTTGGCAACTTAACGAACTACCTTCCCCGCGTGTCGTCTTTCACTCTCCTCTCCTCCCTCTCCCTCGAGTCTTGCACATTCAACCCGTGCGAGCTCCACTCCCTCGCGCGCTCCCTCCACTCCCTCACCCACCTCACCATCGACAATTGCCCCTCGGTCTGCGGCCGTGCCGTGGCAGCAATGGTTCGAGCCAATCCCTCCCTCTCCACGCTCTCTCTCTGCGGCAGCAACTACCGTCTCTTCAGTTCCAAGCCCCTCTCAGCCGTGCTGCGCCTGTCGTCCCGGAAGCTTCAGACGCTCACGCTTGCGGGTCTGCCGTCGTTCCGCCCGGGAATGCTTGCGGGGTGCAGCAGCCTTGAGTCGCTCACTCTCCAACGAGCAGAGGGGTCGCTAGAGGGGCTGCTCGCCATGCTCGTCCGGGTGGTTGAGGCGGGGGGAGGGGCGGAACGAGGTGAGAATACGCCTGCGGGCGCGGGTTCGGGTGCAAGTGCGAGTGCGAGTGCGAGTGCGGGTGCGCCTGCATCTGCTCTTGCAGGGGCGGCGGCAGAGGTGAGGATAAAGGGGAACCGGCGCACCTACGTCGATATCCGCGCAGCAGCAGCGTCGGCGCGCGCCGACGCGGCCTCAGCATGGAGAGACATGAACCGGCTAATCGATGCGGCGGGGGAGCAAGTGGGCTCCGCGCACGTGGAAGCGGACACCGCGCGGCGACACCAGTGGCTGCACGCGGAAAAGCCCGCCATCAAGAAGATCATAAACGCGATTTCCGCCTGCCAGTCCGCGTCCGCGGGGGCGTGGGACGCGAACGCCGCGAGGGAGAAGGCGCGCGCTGTGGCGCGACTCTCCGCCATCGCCGCCGCTGGCGCCGCCCCTGGCGCCGCCGCTGGCGCTGCCGCCGCTGGCGTGACAGGGGTTTTCACAACGGAGTTTCACGGAAAGGAGGAGGAACGATGGTCGGAAGACGCGGACCGAGAGGCTTGGGGTTTAGGCTCGGTGTTGTTCACCGACTTTACAGACGGAGAGTACCGTGCAGGCGCAACCCCCGATGGGCCTCACCACTTCATGTTGGAGAGGGATCCGAGTGACGGCATTCCCAAGGCGTCGCGTGAAGAGCTGTACGCGACGCTAGATGCGTTGTATCAGCAGCTGCGCCCGCATCAGTCGGCCATGCGCGAGAGCGTTGAGGCGCTGCTTGCGGGGGAGGATGCTGAGGGCGGGATTGTTGGGGCGGTAGCAGCAGCGGGTGGGGCGGCAGCAGCAGCGGGTGGGGGGGCAGAACCAGTGGGCGAAGCAGCAGGAGGTACCCCAGGAGTGGAGCAACAGGCGGAAGCTGCACAGGGACAAGGCGTGCAAGAGAGAGTGGACGTCGAGGGAGTGCAAGAGGAGGGAGCACAGAGGGGGGAATCTCTAGGGGAGGGAAAAGAAGAAAGGGCAAGCAGCAGCAGGCTTGCAGCGGCTAAGATGCATGAAGAATCTCAAAGGGTAACGCGAGTGGATGTGGTCTGCCCGTCCCTGGCTTCCTTGGTTCTGGAAAACATCCAGTACAGTCCTCCTTCTGGGCCTGCTTCTGAGAATCTTCCCTCTACATCCCCCCTCATGGTTCCAGTTTCCCGTACTCCTCCTTCCTCCACATTCTACCCCGCAACTTCCCTCTCCTACCCTGGTTCTACCCCAAGTGCTTCTCCCAGTCAGCAGCGGTGGTCGTTTGAGAGCATTGCCTTGGCGGCTGTGTTTGGAGGGCTGAGACGGTTGGAAGTGGTGCAGTGCGGTAGGGTGGGGGAGGAGCAGCTGAGGGCAGTGCTGCGTGCATGCCGGGTGTTGGTGGAGCTGAGAGTAGAGCACAGCGATGCCATGTCTGATAAAGTGCTCCTCTCATGCCCAATCCACACGCTCACCCATGCCACTCTCATTGCTTGCAACGGCATCACTGCTGCTGGGGTGATCGGGTTGCTTGCAAGCTTCCCAAGGCTGAGGCAGTTAAAGGTGGAAGCGGATAAGGTTCTTGAACGGGCTAGGCGGAAGTTGCTTCGTGCTGGTGTGGTCGTGAGGGGGGTGTGAGTTAGGGTGGCACCATCAAGAGTGGCTCTTTATGTGAAGGTGGAGAGTAATACAGCAAGATGAGACATTTCTCATCATGCCTTTTTTCTTCTTTCCTTATTCTCTCAGCAGAGCTTAGGCTCTTTGGAGGGTCCTTATCACAAGCGATTGCTCTTGGTGCAACATGGTGCCGTTTATTCTTCTTTTACTGGTTGTTACCAGTACCGTACCTAGGGGGTACTGGTATGGCAACCCTAGGGAAAGCCAAACTGGCATGGCATGCCCGGAAAGACAACCCTACAAGAAAACCAGGCCAATTGTGAAGAATGGTGGTTAGTGTAAGTATTGGGCTTTGATTGGACTGTGGACATCCACAGGGGTATGAGTGATGGCCCCACCGGTGAAATGCCTTGGTACCAATTATGCAATGCCTTGATGCCTGCCAATAATGTTCTACGGTATCTCAAACCTTGTTTGAAGATGCTTCAGGGAGGCGTCGTGAGTTGGGAACACGGCATATCACGCTTTAAACACAATATTTTGATTCAGGTTATACTAAAAACCTTGGTCTCCTCTCCACATTCATGTCCTGCAAGATCGGTTAGGGAAATACAGCTGCAATAACCAACTGCAATAACTACAACCATCCGGAGAACCTAGCTCTGTAGGTACGGTATAAGACCAAGACAGCAATTGTAGGTATGGATGGAGGGGATGATGGGGGGGATGATGGAAGGGATGATGGAAGGGATGATGGAGGGGATGATGGAAGGGATGATGGAGGGGATGCTGAAGGGGATGATGGAGCGGACGCTTCATCGTGCTACCTTACCTTGCTACAACGATGTGCCTTGCACAGAGGGCCACACCCAGGGCCAACGTCAAACTCGCACCCCCTCACAACGACACCAGCACGAAGCAACTTCCTCCTAGCCCTCTCCGGAACCTTCTCCTCCTCCACCTTTAAGTACCTCAACCCCGGGAAACTCCCAAGCAGCCCAGCAACACCTGCAGCTGTAACCTGTGTGCATGAGACCAGCGTGGCATGAGTGAGAGAGGGGAGAGGGCATGAGAGCAGGAGGGCATCGGACATGGCATCGCTGTGCTCTACTCTCAGCTCCACCAACACCCGGCATGCACGCAGCACTGCCCTCAGCTGCTCCTCCCCCACCCCACTGCACTGCACCACTGCCAACCGCCTCAGCCCACTAAACACAGCCGCCAGGGCAATGCTCTCAAACGACTGCTGCTGCTGACTGGGAGAAGCACTTGGGGTGGAACCAGGGGAGAAAAGGGAGGTTGAGGGGCGAAACGTGGAGCAAGGAGGAATACGGGAAACTGGAACCAGGAGGGGGGAGGTAGAGGGAAGATACCCAGGCAACCAAGCAGGCTCAAAAGCAGGAGAAAACTGGATGTTTTTCAGGACCAGGGAGGCCAGGCAAGGGCAGTTCACATCCACTGGCGTTGCCCTTTCAGATCCTTGATGCGCCTTAGCTGCTGCGCTGCTGCTACATGACTCTCCTTTTCTTCTCCTCCCTTGACCTTCCTCCCTTTGCGATCCCTCCTCTTGCGTCCATGGCACCGCTGCTGCTGCTGCTGGAGCGTCAACCGCTGCTGCTGCTGTCAGCCCTTCAGTCCAATCCACTACAGTATCCCACTGGAGCAGCGAATTAGCGGTCCCATTCATGGTCAAGAGACGCAGGCGCAGCTGCATCGAAAGCCTATCCAGCACCACAAGCAGCTCCTCACGAGACATCACGGTCGCAGTCTCACCTCCACCTGCATCTGACTCCTCCGTACCGTTGTGAACCGCATTCGGGGTTGCCCCAGCACTAAACTCCTCGTAGCCAGTAAACAGCATAGAGTATTCTCCAAGCTCACCATCCACCTCTTCCTCTTCTCCAGTAAACTCGGCAGTGAATATCCCCGAGGTGCCGGCAGCAGCAGCAGCGGTGGAGAGTCGCGCCACAGCACGTGCCTTCTCTCTCGCACCGTTTGCATCCCACACCCCGGAAGAGGCATACCGGCAGGCAGCAATGGCACTCAGGACTGCACTGATAGCGGACCTCACGCATTGCACAGACTCGTGTTGGTGTGCGGAATGGGTTTGGAGCTGCCCCGTGCCTGCGACCTGCCCCGCCCGCTCAATCAGCTCACGCACGTCTCTCCATGCTGAGGTTGTGTCGGCATGCGCCGACGCTGCGGCTGCGCGGATATCGACGTAGGTGCTGCCGACGCTGCGGCTGCGGCTGCGCCGGTTCCCATTAATCCTCCCCTCCGCCGCCGCCGCTGCAGGAGCAGCTGCAGGCGCATCCGCATCCGCACCCGCACCCGCACCCGCACCCGCACCCGCACCCGCACCCGCAGGCGCATTCTCACCTCGTTCCGCCTCACCCCCGGCCTCGACGACCCGGACGAGCATGGCGAGCAGCCCCTCCAGCGACCCCTCCGCTCGTTGGAGAGTGAGCGACTCAAGGCTGCTGCACCCCGCAAGCATTCCCGGGCGGAACGACGGCAGACCCGCAAGCGAGAGCGTCTGAAGCTTACGGGACGACAGGCGAAGCACGGTGGAGAGGGGTTCGGAACTGAAGAGACGGTAGGTGGTGCCGGAGAGAGAGAGGGTGGAGAGGGAGGGGTTGGCTCGAACTATTGCTGCCACAGCGCGGCAGCAGGCCAGCGGGCAATCGTGAATGGTGAAGTGCGTGAGGGAGTGGAGGGAGCGCGAGAGGGAGTGAAGCTCGCCCGGGTCGAACATGCAGGAGTGGAGGGAGAGGGAGGAGAGGAGAGTGAAGGAGGAGACGCAAGGAAGGTGGTTTGTTAAGTCGGCAGATCGAATGGTGAGGGATTGGAGAGACGAGCGGAAGGCGGAGGAGGAGGAGGCGAGGCAGGCAAGGTCGCTGCCTGTAGGCTGCCAGAGGGAGAGGGAGGTGAGCGCGGAGCAGCGGAGGAGGGGGGAGATTTCCTCTGGGCGGAAGCTGAGGGTGACGGCGCGGAGGGAAGGGAAGGCGTGGAGAGGCGGCAGGGGGGGATTATCCTCGCGTACGGAGCGTAGGTAGCGCAATGCATCGCGGGAGAAACGTAAGCTGAGCTCCAGATGAGTCAGCTGGCTGAAATGAGGTGGTCCGGGCGGGCGAATGGGGAGAGATGGAGGAGGTGGGGTTGGGGGGTGAGGGGTGAGGACGCGAGGGGGTTTTGAGAATAAACAGGTGGTTGATGAGAGGTAGCAAAGAAGAGCGCTGGTGGTGCGAAGAGGCTCGTTGAAGCGAAAACGCTTGTAATGAGGCGGTGGAAACGAGAGCAAGGGAGAGCAAGCAAGAGCAAGCAAGAGCAGCAAGGGAGTGGGACGAGCGAGCGAGAGTGGTCGAATCGTAGTCCTCTGCTTCTGCTCGAGAACGATGCTGCATCTCGACGCCTTCCTTTTCCTCCTTTGAACCTCCGTTATATATACAGAAACTAAATTACGCCTTTCTCTTCTTTTTGAAGGGAGAAATTAAATTACGCCTTTTTGAAGGGGCGGGGAGGTAGAGAAAATGTTCGCAAATTCCCAAGAATGGGGGGGCGAGGGGGGATAACTCTACCGTCCACATATCCCCAAGCATTCCCAACGCAGGCCACTCACGGGCATTGGCGAGCAAGCGACCGCCACCCACTAGCAGTGGCTTCGAAACTTCCCCAATCCACCGCCAAAAGCCTTAACTCCTTCAGCTGCCCGCACGTAGCGCCAATACCCGCCAGCAGGTAGTCTCGCAGGGGGTCCGTCACGCGCACAATCAGACTGGTAATGTTGGAAAACACCCTTGTTTTCGCGTCGAATTCTCCCAACCAATCCCGGACGCTGGAATGCCGGTGGTGATGAGGCATGAACTCGACGAGCAGCGAGTGCGGCGTGCGGCGCGAGATGCGGCGGAGTCGCGAGCAGACGAGCGCGACGTTGCAGCGGTCGGATTGGTGGGTGATGTTACTTAGGATGGACTCGAGAAGCTCGTCCGGGAGAGACAGCAGACGACAACGGTCGCCGCGCTTCATGGTAACGACGAGCCGCGAGCTAGGGTTTGTAGCTGTGACGTGACGGTTATCTGAGGGTTCAGCCTGGCGAACCAGAGGCAACACGACGGTTTTTATGCTCGCGTGGTAGAGCGGGAGTCGGAAGCTAAAAAGGCATACAAAACTAGTGAAAGCACGAAACTAATAAAACCATGAAACTTGTCAAAACATTAGGTATGCTAGACGTTTGCGTGATCCGCGCGAGATGGGGCGGGACGAGGGAGAGAGAGCGGAGAACCGCAGGCTTGCAGGAAACTACTAGAGTACTGACAAGCAGCACCTTTCAGTGCGAAGCGGATGGATCTATGGAGACTGGAAATGCAGAAGAGGAAATGCGTACCAGCGGAGCAAAAATTGCACACACACCCCGTGTGGATGGACTGACAGGATGAACAAATTGCTGTACGCGGTACAAGGTGTGACGCGAAAGAGGAATTAGTCTTTAGTACACCCACAGAGGAGTGACAAACTCTTGTGAACGGGATATCAAGATTGATAAAAAAACTGCAATATGGTATTTCCTGGGAAAGACTACCATCTGTTTAGAACGCCCATGGGCCATTTTTCTATCAGAGCCCCCCTCATTTCCAAAATTACAAAGGCACCTAGGGCTCACCGGTAGTATGTGTTGTGTATCCCACCAATAGTGATGGTATGGCATACCCCAAATTGCTGCAACCACACCTAGGCACTTACATTTTCTATCTGCAGAGTTGGCCCATTTTCAAAGGTTCTTGCCGGAAGAGCACAGCTGTCTTCCAAGACGACATCTAGGTTGCCTTGCCCTAATACACCCAAATAACAATATACCACGACAGACAACCTATCCACACTCACACCCATACGACTTGGAGCATCACCACGGCACCATGTGACTGGCATAGTCACCAGAACCGTCCCCAAAGTCCTCGTCACCCCTCCCAACCGCACTTTGACCACGTCGCAGTGGTGTGTGCGGCCTGCCTTGCAGTGCGGCAGAGCTAGAGCTACCAGTACCGGTGCGCGCAGGAAACACCCTCTCTTCCACATGGCTTTTATTCAGATGATGAAACGCACTGTTGTTGCTGCTGCTGCAGTTTTTGTTGCTTGTGTAGTTGCTGGCTTGCGCTCCCCTCATAGGACCAGCACTACCAGGTTCATAGTGACGTTCAGGAATCAGGCTGCGAGGGGATGCAAGATGCTGCTGCTGCTGCTGCTGCTGCTGCTGCTGCTGCTGTTGCTCCTCCTCCTCAACCAGTGCTGGCCACACTGCAGCAGGGTGGAAGGTGAAGTCGTGAGATTCAGAGCGGTTGAGTGCGGCAGGACGACGACGAGGGGGGAGTGTGTAAATGCTGGTGGGAGGAGGAGGGTCGGCGTGCTGACGGCTGCTGCTGACATGATGAGTAATCCTGCTACTGGGAGCACCACCACCCGTGCCTGTGTTGTTCTGTCTCCTGACTTGTCTGTTTGCACTGCTGGCAGCACCACGAGCCAATCCCATCGTGGAAGCACCAGCACGTGCCGACGACCCTGAGGCAACAGCACCACGTGCTTGAGGCATTTGAGACACCTCGATAGCAGCTCTCCGTGGCTGGGGTATTTGAAACTCCATCCTCTCCTCCCCAGTCAGTGCACTCGCATCCGCAAGTCTCATGGCAGCAGCTGCAAAATCAGCACCAGCAGCAGCAGCTTCAGCATCGGCACTGACATCAGAACCAGCATCATCATCATCAGAAGCTTCCTGGTTCAGGTCAAACAGGGGCATATGGTAATTCCCACTGCCACTCACAAGCCCCTCATATCCCACACCACCACTGCTGCTCATGCTGGTCATGCTGCCACTGCTGCTGCCGATGCTGCCAACACTGTTGTTTCTCTCACTTGTGCTGTCACCACCACTGCCGCCCCATTTGCTGCTCCCCTTGCTGCTTCTTTTGCTGTTACTGCAGGCGTTACTGCCACTTGTACGGACAAGTGCCCTTCCTTGAATCACAGGCACCGCTTTCTTCTTCCCTTTCCCCTTCGCACTCCCACCACTCTTCTCCTCCCCCTCCCCACCACCTGCTTTTACCTTAGCGCCTTTCACCTTCTTACAAATTCCAACCCTGCTGCTAGCCCCCACAACTCCTGCCTGGCCTTCTGTTTCCGAACACCCCTCCACATCCTTTTCCGAAATCATCTCTATATCGTTTCCCAAAAACGCCTCTATTTCTTTCTCCAAAATCGCATAATCCAAGCTCTCTACTCGTTCCACTAGAACCCCCTCCTGAGCCCCAACCCCTCTCTCACTCTCACTCACAGCAGCTACGCTACTGACACCCTTTCCACCTCTCTTCCCCGTCCCTTTCCCCTCCCCTTTCACCTTCCCTTTCCCCACTCCCGCACCTTCCTTCTTCCCCGTCTTCCCCCGCACCACCTTTCTCCCCCTCTCTATACAACCCTCCGCTGCGCCTGCAGTTCCTCCCTTCCCCTCCACTCCTGCTGCTGCTGCTGCCTTACTCGCTCGCCTTGTCTTGCCGCTGCTTCCTTTGCAGGGGACACGAGCAGAGGCACCGGGAAGAGCAGAAGTGTCAGCAACAGAGCTGTCACAAACAGCAGGGGCGGAATTGGCAGGATCGCGTCTAGAAGGCCCGGTGGGTTGAGCAGTATTGGCAGCAGCTGCAGAAACACCCGGAGATGCAGCAGCAGCGGTGCCAGAAGTTGCACTGAATGATGCTGTTACCGCTGGTGCTGGTCCTTCTGCTGCTGCTGCTGCTGCTGTTGTTGGTGGTGGTTTAATTGGACGAACATATGCACCAGGCACAGAAGCAGCTGAGCAGGTAGGAGCAGAGTGAGCAGGAGAATCGGCAGAGGGTAGCAGCAGCAGCAGCAGCAGCAGTAGCAGCAGCAGCAGCAGCAGAAGAAGCAGTTGATGGTGTCACCATGGATCTACGTGCCAGAGCAGCACTGGTGACAGCAGCACCACTGACACTTGCACCATTGGCAGCAACTGGAGCAGAAGCAGGACTTCTCGTGTCCCCCACACCCCTCGTCTCCCGCGCAACCCTTGTGCCCTGCAGACCTTCTTTTCCCCCTTGAACACCCCTCTCTGCTCTCGCTGCTCTTTCTGCTGCCTCCAGCACCGCTCTCAACCGCATCACCTCGTTGCTGCGGCTGTCCAGCAGCTCTCGCGTCTGCGGTGGAGGAGGGGGAAGGGGAAAGCAGAAAACGGAAAGGGGAATGAGAAAAGGAGACGGAGGAAGGAAATGTGAGAAGGATTGCACTTAGGGAATGAAATATCAAGCCCTGTTTTCCAGGCAAGGCATTTGCTCAGAGACACTGACTCAAGACAATTAGAAGCCGCCCTGACTCACGACAAAAAGACAGTCAGTCCACAAAAAGACAATCACACAGACACGGCTTGCTCCCTACAGTACAGCTTACCTGCGCCAGCACGGATTGAAGGTGCTGCACCTGGTCCTTGTACTGCCACATGAAGTCAAACCAAGGCACAGACAGAAATGCAATGCACGGGTGGGTTGCGGTGGAGGGGAGTTGAATGAGAAAAGGCGTTCAACACTGTCTGAAGGTGCTGCACCTGCTCCTTGTACTGCCACAGTCACGTCAAACCAAACCAAGGCACAGATACACATGCAATGCACGGGTGGGTTGCGGTGGAGGGGAGTTGAAAATGGGAAGGGCATTCAGCATTGCTTGTGGGTGCTGGGTCTGCTGCTTTGTGCTGCGACGCCTCGACAAGGCATAGAAACAGATGCAATGCACCTTGTGAGGGACGGTAACTCTAACAAGGCCCTCTCAAGGCGCAAGGGTGATGCTCACAGATGCCAAGGATGCAAGGGAATGCACAGGAGTGCAAAGGAGTGCTGCATGGGGCATTTGACTCACCATGGACCTGTTACCAACCCCCCACCTCCTCCCTCCCTCTCCCGTTCTCACCTCCTTGAGCAATCCGTGGTCCCTCCTTTCGCCACTGCCACAGTCACAAGTAGTGTCTTTGCCCCCTCTCCCTGGCATGCTCCTTTGCTGCTGCAGCACCTCTATAGTGGACTCTAGGGCCCGAATGGTCGTCTGCAGTGGCATTAAGATAATTAAGATTCAAACGCACGGATGAAACATTTGTTTAGGTGATTGTTGAGACGATTTTCAAGGTGCCTGCACGCTGCTCCACTGGTGCTAAGAAGTTGGCGCTTCCACAAAGGGATCACCTTGTGCTGCTATTCAACAAAAGAATGCAGAGTGCAGAGGAGAGTTGGTGGCTTTATGGCGTTTGAGCAAATGTTCGGAGGGGCCAAGTGTGGATTGCTGAGGGGATAATGAAGACACAAGGGGAATGGATTCACTGACAGGTAAAGCCAGGATATGAACAGTGCTTTTGTGTGTGTGTGCGCGTGTGTGTGCGTGTGTGCGTGCGTGTGTGTGTGTGTGTGTCTGAAAGCACGCGCGCGCGTGTGCATGTGCGTATGCGTGTATGTGAGTGTGTGCGTGCCCACCAAGCCATGGCATGGAGACACACCACAACCCACCTGAGACGAAGCCAGATCCGCTTGCAGAGACTGCAGTATCCTTGACTTGTCATTGTTGCGCTGATACAGGTAAAGGTTGGGGGGAGGTGGGTGCGGAAGTGGGGCAGTGGGGGATTGGGGAGGTGTGGGCGGTTGGAAGAGTGTTGAGAGCTGGTTTTTGAGAAGAGTGGTCCGCAGTACAAGGGAGAGTGTTGAGATGTCTCGAAGCACAAGGGAGGGGGTAAGTGTGGTGTGGGGGCGTTGGGACAGTTGACAGAGGGGGAACTGGGCAGACAGTTGGTAAGAGGGATGTTGCGAGAGCACTACCTTTTCCCATGTGACTCATTCTTCCCTTTCACTCACTCTAACTATTGCTCACCATTGCTCACCGGCGCTCACCATTGCTCACCGGCGCTCAACATTGCTCACTAATGCTTCATAATCTGCTCACCATGGCTTTCCATCCCCCTCCCTTTCCCTTTCCCCTGCCTTCCCATATCCCCTTTGTCCTCTCCCCTTTTCCTTCCATTCCCACCATCTGTTTCACCCCCCCATATCAGCTCACCATAGACGCCACCACCTTGCGGCACTCGCTATTGGAGTGCTCCAGGGCCACACAAAACGGGGGAAATGCTTCCCCCCCATTTCCCCCCATGACCTCTACCCAACCCTTCCCCCTATCAACTCACCATAGCAGCCACCAGCTTGCGGCACTCGCTGTTCGAGTGCTCCAGAGCCACTCGGAACGCCTCCCTCTCAATCGTCACCTTCACCACAGCTTCCCTCACCGCCTCCACCGCGCCCGCCGCTCTCTGCCGATCCCTCTCCACCACTCTCAAACACCTCCGTATCTCCTCCATTTCCGCCACCACCGCTCGCACGGTATTATCCCGAGCAGACCTCAGCACTCCCAGCTCTTCCCTCGCTTCTAGCAGTGCCCCATGCACGTCAATAAGCTTCTCTTCTGTGCGTTCGAGCTCTCGCCGCCAGTCCCACTCCTCCCACCCGTCCCTGTGCGCCCGAGCCTCTTCCATTTCGGCCTGTAGGTGTTCCCGATATGCAGGGTCTTTCGAGGGGTGCATGCTGATAGGTGCTGCTGCTGCTGTTGCTGCTGCAGCTGCACCAGCTACAGCTGCTCGTGCTGCTGCTGCTGCCGCTGCTGCTGCCGACCTCGTTACACTCACCCCCGTCTGCTTCACCCCGCGCCGCTGCTGCTGCTGCCGCCCCTGCTCCCTTGCTTGCTGCCCTACCAGCCGCAGGCAACTGCATCTGAATCCTCGCGCCTCCCAGGCCACCCATACAGCCAGCAGCACCAACAACACCGCCTCTCTCCAGCTGCTTCAGGATCTCCTCCCACCTTCCTCTATCCATCAACTCCCTCACCATCCTCCACGCCCTCTGTGCTTCCTCTGATCGCACCCACGCACTCAGCCTCTCCCACACACCCCCCACCTCACCCCACTGCATAGCCAGCATTCTCAGCACCCCCTCCTCTCCCTCACCCGCCCCCACCACTGCTGCTTCCCCACTTGCTCCCCCATTCACTCCCTCGACACCTCCCCGCTCCTCCCCCTCTTCCGCTCCTCCACTCTTCTCCTCCCCTTCTCCCTTTCCGCCCACCTCCCCTGCCCGTGCCTTCCTCTCCCCATTCCCCCCTTCCTCCTCGTCGCTCCACGTATCCTCATCCTCCTCACTCCCTTCCCCTCTACCCTCCTCGCCCTGGCCCTTCTGTCCATTCTTCCGCCACAGCTGCCGCCATTCCTCTCTTTCTCTCTCCATATCCCGTTCTATGTCCCACTCTCCGTCCCCTCCATCCCCTCCTTCATCTCCTTCCTCTCCCTCCTCACCGTCTTCTCCACGTGCCTTCTTTTCCTCACTCCTCCTCTTCCTCTCCTCTTCCCTCTTCTCCTCACTCCTCTCCTCCTCCCACTCCCTCTCTCTCTCCTCGTACGCCTCTCTTTCCCTCTGCCTCTCCTCTGCTCTACTCTTCTCCACCTCCCTATCTGCCCCCCTTTGCTCTTGCTTCTCCTTCTCCTCTTCCCTCTCCCTCTCCCTTTCCTCTTCCCGCCGTCTCTCCTCTTCCCGCTCCAACTCCCACTGCCGCTCCTTCTCTCTGAAAGCGTTCCTTTCCGTCTCTCTCTCCTCTTCTCGCCTCCGCTCTTCCTCCCTTTCCACCTCCCACTGCTTCTCCTTCTCCCCAAACTCAGCTTCCTGCCGTTTCCTCTCCTCCTCTCGCTCCTTCATCCGCATCAGCACTTTCTCCCACATTCTCTCTTTCTTTTCTAACATCTCTTTTTCCTTCCTCATCTCCTCTTCCCTCTGCCGTTCATCTTCCCTCTCCGCCTCCCACTCTGCTTCACTCAATGCCATTGCCTCTACTTCCCTCTGCCTCTCTTCCTCCCTCCTCATCTCCTCTTGCCTCTCTTCCTCCCTCTGCTTCCGCCTTTCCTTCTCTGCAGCTCTCTCCTTCTCCCTCTCCTCCTCCCTCTTTCTCTCCTCCTCCCTCTCCCTCTCCCACTCACCTTCCTTCCTCTCAAATGCATTCCTCTCCCTTTCCCTCTCCTCTTCTGCATCCCTTTCTCTCTCCCTCTCTCCTTCCCACTGCCTCAATTTTCTCTCATATTCACCCCTCTCCGCCTGCCTTTCCTTCTCTCTCTCCTCCATCCTCACAACCTCCTTCCTCCACTCCTCCTCCTTCACCCTCTCCCTTTCTCTCATTTCATCTGCCTCCAATTCTCTTTCCCTCCCCCTCCTCGCCTCCTCTTCCTCTCCCAGCAGTACCAGCGCTCTCAGCTTTTCCACTTCTCCTTCAAGCTCCAATACCCTCTCCCCACGCCTCTTTTCCACCTCCTCTCTTTCCTCCTCTACCCGTCTCTTCTCCCTCTCCCATTCCTGTCTTTCCTCCTCTGCCTTTCTCTTCTCGCTCTCCCTCTCCTTCCTCACCTCCTCCTCCATCCTCACAACCCTTTCCTCTGCGACGCGAATTCGCTCCTTCAGTCCTGCCTCCCTCTCCTCCCTCTCCCGTTCCTCCCTCACACGTTCTTTCCGTTCCTTTTCACGTTCTCCCTCTGCCTTCTCTCGTAACTTCCTCTCCCTTTCCTCTCCTGCCACCCTCTCCTTCTCCCTCTCCTCCTTCTCCACCTTCAACTCAGCCTCGAGCTTCACACCTCTCTCCCGTGCTTCCAGCAACCCCGCATTCATCATCTCTTCTCTCTCCTTCATCTCCCTCTTCTCCTTCTCTCTCTCCTCCTTCTCCAACCTCAATTCCTCCTTCAGCTTCCCTTCCCTTTCCTCCAACTCCGTCCCCTCCTTCTCAATCTCTTCACTCGCCTTCTTCAACTCGCCCTCAAGCTCGCGCTCTCTCCTCTTCCACTCCTCTCTCTCCTTCATTCTCTCCTCCCTCTCCCTTACTTTCTCCTCCATCTCCTTTGCCCTCTCCTCCCTCTCTCTCCTCACATCTTCCATCAGCATCTCCTCTCTCTCCTCTTTCCCCTTCCCTTCTCTCTCCCTCATCTCTCTTTCCATCCTCACTTCCCTCTCAAGCACCCCCATCCTCTCTCTCGCTTCCCTCAACTCCCCCTCCAATTCCTTTCGCCTTTCCTCTCTCTCCCTCCTCTCCTTCTCCATATCCCCCCTCTCCTTTTCCCTTGCTTCCTTCTCTTCCGTCAGTCTCACCTCCAGCTCCTCACACGCCTCCTTCCACTGTTCCATTTCTCTCCTCACTCCCTCCTCCCTCTCCTCTCCCCTCCTCCTCTCCTCTTCCCTCCTCTCCCTTTCCCCAACCAGCTCTTCCCGTGTCTTCTTCTCATTCTCCTCACTCTCACACCGCATCCTTTCCCTCTCCCCTCTCTCCCTCTCCACCTCCCCTTCCAACCGCATACAATCGCCTTGCACCTCTCTCAACTCCTCTTCCAGGGCCTGTATCCGCCCCTCCCACTCCATCCTCTCCTTTTCCCTCTCCTCTCCCTCCACCTCCCTCTCTTCCCTCTCCCTCTCCTTCTCCCTCTCTAACCTCCCAACCTCTTCTTCTGCTGCCTGAATTTCTCCAATCAAGCTCTCCTTCCTCTCCTCCGCCTCCTTCCTTTCCCTCTCCCTCTCCTCCCTTTGTATCTCTATCTCCCTTTGCAACTGATTACTCACCTCTCTCGCTTCCCTCAACTCTTCCCTCAAAGCCCCCTCCCTCTCCTCCCCCTCACGCACCTCTCGCATCCTCTCTCCCTTCTCTCTCTCCACCTCCATTCTCATCCCCTCCTCCCTCTCCTTCCCTTCATTCCTCTCCCTATCCCTCTCCTCTTTCTCCGTTCTCAATAGCCCCTCCAACTCACAACACCTCTCCTCTGCACCTTGCACTTCGCTTCTCAACTTCCTTTCCCTTTCAGCACCCTCCTCCCTCTCCCTCCCCCTCTCTTCCCTCTCCACCTTCACCTCCCCTTCCAACCTCCTCACAGTCTCCTCTCTCCCATTCAACACCACCGTCAACTCCCCCAACCTCCTCTCTGCCTCCGCACGCTCCCTCTCCCTCTCCTTCATCACACACCTTACCTCCTCACATGCCCTCCTCTCCCTCTCCTCCCACTCACGCCTCTCCTTCTCCCCCTTCACCCTCTCCTCCTTCAACTCCTCCTCCAACCCTTTGCACCTCCCTTCCATCTCTTCTACCTTTCCTCCTAGCTCCTCTTCCCTCTTTACCCCCTCCTCCCTCTCCCTCTTCCTCTCCTCCTCCTCTCTCTCCAACTCTCCCCGGATCATCTCAATCCTTTCCTCTCCCTCCCTCACCCTCTCCCTCAACCCATCCTCCCTCATCCTCGCTTCACTTCTCTCATACTCCATCTCTCCCCTTTCCTTCTCCATCTGCCCCCTCAACTCCTCCTCTCTCTCCCTCCCTTCCATCCTCTCCCTTTCCCTCGCCTCCCTCTCCTCCACCAATTCCCCCTCTATCCTCACACACGCCTCCCTCACTCCCTTCAACACCCCCTCCAACGCCTTCTCCCTCACCTCCCCCTCCTCCTTCTCCCTCCTCCTCCCCTCCCGTTCCACACTCAATTCCCGCCTCACTCTCTCCTCTCTCTCCTCCCCCTCGCTTCTCTCCTTCTCCCGCCCCTCCTTTTCCATCTTCAACTCCCCTTCCACTCGCACCACTACCCCTTCCAGTTCCACGACCTTCCCTTCCACCTCCTTCACCCTTCCTTCGTACTCCTCCCTCTCAGCCGCCCTCCTTTCCCGTTCCACCTCCACTTCCCTGACCAACCCACTGATCTTTTCCTCAGCCTCCCTCCCCTCCTTCGCCCTCTCCTCCCTCTCCCGCTTCAACTCTCCCTCAAGCTGTTCCCCATTGCTTTGAGCTTCCCTTAGCTCTACCTTCAATACCTGCTGCCTCTCCTCCCACTCCAACCTCTTCCTCTCCCCTTCCTCCCTCTCATTTCTCAACTCACCCTTCAAACCCTCTTCCATCCTCTCGAAATCACACCTTTCCCTCTGCCTCTCCTGTTTCTCCAGCTGCAACTCTTTCTTCAATCCCTCTTCCCTCTTCTCCCCTTCTTCCCTCTCCCTCTGCCTCTCCCGCTTCTCAAACTGCAGCACCCCCTTCAGGCCCTGCTCCCTCCTTTCACTTTCTTCGCGTTCTCGCACCCTCTCCTCCCTCTCCCCCTTCAACTTACTCTCAAGCCCCATCTCTCGCTCCTTCCCCTCTCTTCCCTCTCTCATCCTCCCTTCCCTCTCCTCTCCCAATTCCCTCTCCAACCTCCCCACCTTCTCCACTTCACCCTGCAACCTCTCCTTCATCCCCTCCTCCCTCTCTTCCCCCTCCCTTCTCTCCTTCTCCCTCTCTTCCCGCACCACCCTAAGCTCTTCCACCACTCGACTCCCCTCCTCTCTAACAACTCTCACTTCCTCCTTCAACCTCCTCTCTCTCTCCTCGCCATCCTTCCTTTCCCTCTCCCTTTCCACCTTCTCCTCTCCAAGCCTCTCCTCTAGCCAATCTCCCCTTCCCAGTGCAGCTTCCAGCTCCTCCCTCAACCCCCTCTCTCTCTCCCCGCCCTCCAGCCTCTCTCTCTCCCTCTCCGTCCTTTCACCCTCAAGCCTTTCACCCAGAGAAACACACTCCGATCTAACAGCCTCTAACTCCTCCTGCAGCCTCTTCTCGCTCCCTTCGCCCTCCTTCCTCTCCCTCGCCCTCTCTTTCGCCTGCTCTTCCATCTCAGCCTGAGCTGCTCTCTCCTGTACAACCCTCTCCTCCCGCGCAGCAGTTAATGCCTCCTCCAATCTCCTCACTCGCTCTGCCCCTTCACGCTTCTCCCTCTCCCTCTCCTCTGCCTCTCTCCGCAGCTCTCCCATCAAATCCTCCTCCCTAGCTGCCCCCTCCGCCTTCTCCCTCGCTCTCTCCTCCCTCTCCAGCCTCAACTCTTCTTCTCTCCTTCTCCCTTCCTCTATCTCTCTCTTCATCTCATTCTCCCATGCCTCCTCCCTCTGGACCCCTTCCTTCCTCTCCTGCTCCCTCTCCTCCTTCTCCCTTGCTAACACCCCTTCCAGCTCCTCACATCTCTCTTCCAAATCACTCAGAAGCTTCTTAAGCTCTTCCTCCCTTCCCTCCGCTTCTTCCCTCTCCCTCCTCCGCTCCTCCTCCTCCCTCCCTAACTCCTCCTCAAGCCACTCCCGCGCAGCCACAAGCTTCCTTACCTCCTCCTTCAAACCATCTTCTCTCCCCTCAGCCTCCTCCTTCTCTCTCCTCCTCTCCTCCCTCTCTTGCCTCAACTCCAAATCCAAACCCTCCCGCACAGCCAAAGACTGCTGTACCTGCTGCCTCAGCACTTCCTCCCTCCCTTCACCCTCGTCCCTCTCCCTCCTCCTCTCCTCTCTTTCCCTCTCCAACTCCCCCTGAACTTGCAAACCAACTGCCCTAGCTTCCTCCAGCTGACAGTTCAACACCTCCTCCCGAGCAGCGCCCTCCCTGCCCTCCCTCGCTCTCCCTTCCTTCTCCCACTTCAGCTCCTCTTCAAGCCTCTCAACATCCTCCCTTGCTTCCCGCAGCTCTCCTCTCAGCCTCCCCTCCCCCTCCTCACCATCCTTCCTCTCCCTGTTCCGCGCCCTCCTCTCAAACTCCAGTTGCTCTTTCAACTGCTCCTCCCTCCTCTCGCCTTCCTCCCTCTCCCTCTGCCTCTCCTGCTTCTCAAATTGCAATTCTCCCTTCAATCCCTCTTCTCTCCTCTCGCCTTCCTCCCTCTCCCTCTGCCTGACCTGTTTCTCAAACTGCAGTTCTCCCTTCAATCCCTCTTCCCTTCTCTCACTTTCCTCCCTCTCTCTCTGCCTCTCCTGTTTCTCAAACTGCAGTTCTCCCTTCAATCCCTCTTCCCTCCTCTCACCTTCCACCCTCTCTCTCTGCCTCTCCTGTTTCTCAAACTGCAATTCTCCCTTCAATCCCTCTTCCCTCCTCTCGCCTTCCTCCCTCTCTCTCTGCCTCTCCTGTTTCTCAAACTGCAATTCTCCCTTCAATCCCTCTTCCCTCCTCTCGCCTTCCTCCCTCTCTCTCTGCCTCTCCTGTTTCTCAAACTGCAGTTCTCCCTTCAATCGCTCTTCCCTTCTCTCACCTTCCTCCCTCTCTCTCTGCCTCTCCTGTTTCTCAAATTGCAATTCTTCCTTCAATCCCTCTTCCCTCCTCTCACCTTCCACCCTCTCTCTCTGCCTCTCCTGTTTCTCAAACTGCAATTCTCCCTTCAATCCCTCTTCCCTCCTCTCGCCTTCCTCCCTCTCTCTCTGCCTCTCCTGTTTCTCAAACTGCAATTCTCCCTTCAATCCCTCTTCCCTCCTCTCTCCTTCCTCCCTCTCTCTCTGCCTCTCCTGCTTTTCAAACTGCAATTCTCCCTTCAATCCCTCCTCCCTCCTCTCCCCTTCCTCCCTCTCCCTCTGCCTCTCCTGTTTCTCAAACTGCAATTCTCCCTTCAACCCCTCTTCCCTTCTCTCGCCTTCCTCCCTCTCTCTCTGCCTCTTCTGCTTCTCGAACTGCAATTCTCCCTTCAATCCCTCTTCCATCCTCTCCCCTTCCTCCCTCTCCCTCTGCCTCTCCTGCTTCTCACTCTTCAACTCTCCCTCCAGCCGTTCCCAGTTCATTCTCGCCTCCTGCAACAGGCTCTTCAGCCGCCCCTCCCTCTCCTTCCCTTCCTCCATCTCTCTCCTCCTCTCCCCCCTCTCCCTCTCGATCTCCATCACCAAAACCCCCACTCTCCTCTCCAACACCCCCACCACACCCTCCACCTTCATCCCTCCAATCCCCTGATCCCCACTCCCCTTCCCTCCTTCACCTCCCCCTTCACCCTCCACCTCTACCCTCCGTGAAATCCCCAATGCCCCTTCCACCCCTCGCCTTAACACATCCCTCTCTTTAACAGCCCCCCTCAATTCCCCTTCCAAACGCTTCCTTTCCAGCTCCAACCCTTCCGCCTTCCCCCTCCACGCCTCCCTCTCCCCAGTCAACTTCTCCTCCCTCTCCCCCGCCTCTTTCATCCTTTTCTCCATCAACCTCCCAACTCTCCCCAACTCCCCCTCCATCTCCTTCCTCTCCCTTTCAAGCCCTAGAATTTTTTCCCTCAACCGCATCCCCTCCTCCTGCGTGGCCTTTAAATCCCTCTCCACGCCTTCCTTCTCCTCCGTGACTCCTGCCAGCACCCCCCTCACTCTCTCCGTCTCTGCTCGCGCTCGTTGCGTTGCTACCTTTGCAGCTGCAGCATCGGCAGTAGCAGCTGCGAGATCTGACTGTAAGCCAGCTATGTCGCTGCGGCGAGGAAGAGGGGCGGAAAGGAATAGAAACGGGGGAGGGGGTGCCGTTGGGGAGGGTCAGGAGGAGGATGGAAGGGGGAAGGAAAGGGTCGGAGAAAGAGGGACGGAAGGGGCGGGGAAGGGGATGGAAGTAGGTCGACCGGGGATGGGCACGGAAGAGGCGAGGAGTGAGGGGGAGAAGTAGCAGGGGTGCAACAGGAAGTAGAGAATGAATCCATGAAGCTTAGGGAGTGACTGGAAAAAACACAGGAAGAGGTGGTTATATTGAGGTGCAAATGGAGAAACATGCCTTGAACCTCTCATACTTTTGTTGTCTGGCCGTTTCCTTTCCTGCATCTACCACCCCTTTTTGTTTCCCACCTTCTAAGCCCGTCTACAGTGTCATTGAGAGAGGCGATTTCTCTTTCCTTGGCGCCCATCTTCTCCTGTATCTCCTCCATCTCCTTGTTCCGTTCCTGCTCGCATGTGCATGCACAGACACATGCACCCATTCACGCACACATTCACCCATGCACACGCATACACAGACACATCCAAGAGTGGAATGCCCGGAATAAGGATGGGATGGGAGAATTGGATGGAATGATGGGATGATGCTGCATGAGCAAGGGGTACACAGCAAAAACAATCAAGCGGCACCATATGGCATGGCATGGTATGGTATGGTATGGTATGGTATGGTATGGTATGGTATGGTATGGTATGGTATGGTATGGTATGGTATGGTATGGTATGGTATGGTATGGTATGGTATGGTATGGTATGGTATGGTATGGTATGGTATGGTATGGTATGGCATGGTATGGCATGGCATGGCATGGCATGGCATGGCATGGCATGGCATGGCATGGCATGGGCTTGACCCGGCACGGCATGGCATGGCGCGGCATGGCATGACATTATATGGCATGGCACGGCGTGGCCAGTGGCATGGCAGAGCACACCACGGCATCACACATCAGCGCAGGCACAGCATGGCATGGCATGGCATGGCATGGCATACCGCAAAGAGGGCTTCTGATCGCGTGAGGGCAGCTGTGGCGAGCTTGAGGTTGCGCTCTGCCATCTCCGACTGCCGTGGTGCACATGCGCATGGGCAGAGAGTGAGGCATGGAGGGAGAGCAGAGAGTAAGGCATGGAGGGAGAGCAGAGAGTGAGTCATGAAGGGAGAGCAGTTGCAGGGGGAAGAAGGGGGAAAGCGAAGGGTGGGGTGGGGATCAGGCAGCAGAGGAGGGGGGAGGGCAGGAGGGGTAGAGCAAGAGGCGGAGAGGAGCAAAGTTATGAAAGGGAGAGGAGAAGAGTGAGTGTGATTCGGAGAAAGCCAGAGAAACATAGCATGCCAAGTTTCACAGGTGGCATCTGATAGTACATATCATAGTACTACATATTCTTCATTGTAATTTATGACCTAATATAGTCCCTATGTGCCTTATCTAATTGAATGATTTATTGCCTTCCAACGTGCGACCTGTGCCGCAGTTGGATGCATGGCATGGCACGGCATGGCATGAGCATGAGCATGAGCATGGCATGCAGTAGCAGCATGCATGCAGATGCGCCTAAGGCGCATGGCCTGAGCATCCATCAGTGCTGTCAGCTGCGGCCCTGCGAGCACAACTACTCCCTTCTCCATAAGGAGCCCCTACTTTCTTCATCTTTCCATCCACCCTCTCACCTTATATTCCGCCAACCCTCCCTTCCCCCAGTCATTCCCTGTGTTCCCTGCCCCGACTCTCTCCCCAGCCCTCCCCGACCATGTCCAATCCCTCTCCTCATCCTTCCCCCATCTCCCCCCCCCCCACCTCCCCCCCCCGGTCCCTTTCCCCTGTCCCTCCCCTCGTCCCTCTGCCCAGCCCTCCCCCGTCCGTCCACACCCCCTGACAACACGCACCCGCTTTTTGAAGGCGTCTAGATCCGCCTTGGGGTCTCTTCCCAGACTCGTGAGCGTCCACTGCCGTGGGGGGAGGGGGTGAAGGGGAGAGGGGGAAGGATGGGAAGAGCGAGGGGGCGTTACAGTAGGAACATTAACGGCTTTGCAGTGGGTTGTGTCCGCCTTGGGGTCCCTGCCCAAACTCGTGAGCGTCCACTGCCGAGGGGGAGGGGGAAAAGGGAGAGGACGCGTGGGGAAAAAGAGGGAAAGTTGGGAAGAGAGAGAGAGGGGTGTGTTGCAGTGGGAACATGAGGGACTCTGCAGAGGGTTGTGTCCGATTTTGAGTCGACTCAAAAGCAACTGTGTCCGTCTTGGGATCCCTGCCCAGACCCGTGAGCGTCCACTGCCGTTGAGGGAGGGGGCGAGGGGGAGAGAGGGTAAGGTGAGTAGAGTGAGTTGGTGAATTAGTGGGAACATAGGAGATCCTGCAATGGCCTGAGTATATGTGGCATGGGTGCATGTGACATGGGTGCATGTGACATGGGTGCATGTGGTCTCACCTTGGTGGGTTTCAGTTTGAGTGCTTGAGGCACCTGGTGGGAGCAACGCACATGTGATACACGAGGCAGGCAGGGAGTTCAATCCATGAGACAGGCAGCAGCAGCACACGGTGCAAGGCAAGTTACAGAGCAACAAGAGTGAAACGAGTGGAAGGGCGCAAATGGGGGAAGTGGGGACGGAGGGAGGTGGGGTGAGGAGATGGTGGGCGGGAGGAGGGTCAAGCCAAGCATTTGGGAACTGGCACATATTGGAATGGACTGGGAATGGATGGGTTGGCTGGATACGTTGAATGGACTGACTGGGCTCGACCAGATGGGACAAGAAAAATTGCCGGACCCACGATTCCCCGCGATTCCCCCGCCATCCCCCATCATCCCCCACCATCCCCCATCATCCCCCACCATCCCCCATCATCCCCCACCATCCCCCATCATCCCCCACCATCCCCCATCATCCCCCACCATCCCCCATCATCCCCCACCATCCCCCATCATCCCCCGCCATCCCCCATCATCCCCCACCATCCCCCACCATCCCCCACCGTCCCCCATCATCCCCCCACCATCCCCACATCATGCCCCCAGAAACCCCCCCATCGGGCCCTTCACTTACCAATCCAGTACTATCCGCCTTCCCTCCCCCTGGCCCCTTTAGCGGGGATGCTGCCGCTCCCCCTGCGCCTCCCCCTGCCCCTCCCGCTCCCCCTGCATGTGCCGCCCCGGCGCTCTCCTCATCTCCCCCCCTGCTCTTGCTGCTGGCTAGTCGCGTCAAAGGGGGCGGGGTGGGGGCAGGGGACGCGGAGGCATGGGCGGAAGGCGCGGGGCCAGAGCAGGCTGCAGTGGGAGCGGGGGAGGGAGTGGGGGAGGGAGTGGGGGAGGGAGTGGGGGAGGGAGCGGGGGAGGGATCGGGGGAGGGAGTGGGGGAGGGAGTGGGGAAGAGGGAGCGGAAGAGCGGAAGGGTTAGTTTGTTGGCCCAACGAGAAAAGGTTTGACTTTCAAGGGAATGAACTGGTGGTGCATGGTTTGGGAGGAGAGTGAGCGGAAGGGTTGACTTGTTGGCCCAACAAAAACGGTTTGTCTCTCAAGGGAGTGAGTGCAAACGGGGGGAGGACACTGGGGGTGCATGGTCAGGGGGATGCTGGTGGGCGGGGTGCGAAGCGAGGTGGGGAGAGGAAGCAGAGGGTGGTTGTGTGACGGCACAGTGACTGACGGTGACTGACACAACTAAACGCTCTATCCCAATCCACCCCCCCACCCACCCACACCACGCGCACCATTATCATCGGTATCATCTCCACCCATGGCACTGCTACTGCATCTTGAGGCAATTCATCAATAGGCGCCTCACAACCAAACGCTCTATCCCAATCCCCCGCACCCACCCAACCACCCACCCACCCACCCACACGCACCATCATCATCAGTATCATCACCACCCATGGCGCTGCCACTGCCACCTTGAGGCAACTCATGAATAGCTGCTTCACAACCAAACGATCTATCCCGAATTCTCCCCCGTCCCCCCCCCGCACCCACCCACCCACCCACCCACACGCACCGTCATCATCAGTATCATCGCCGCCCATGGCGCTGCCACTGCCATCTGAGGCAACTCATGAATAGGCGCCTCGTAAACAGAACCAAACGCTCCATCCCACCCATCCCCCACCCAACCCACCCACACGCACCATCATCATCAGTGTCATCGCCACCCATGGCGCTGCCACTGCCATCCATCGAGTTCTCCTTCCCGCCTGCCCCCTCCTCCGCGCCTCCCCCTCTCCCTGCGCCACCTACCCCGCCCGCCACTGTGATTGCGCCGCTGTTGTCACTGGGATCCGGCTGTGCGGTGGAAGGGAATTGGGCGGGGGGAGGGAGGAGGGGGAGGACGAATGGAAATGAGGTGACTTTGGAGTTGACTCAACGGTCACCTCTGTGCCACCTGCCCCGCCCGCCATTGTGATTGCGCCGCTGTTGTCACTGGGATCCGGCTGTGCGTTGGAGGTGAAATGGGCGGGGCGAGGGAGGAGGGGGACGACGAGTGGAGATGAGGAATACCACGGGGGTTGTGTGGGGGAGGGGAATGGGAGTGTATGAGAGCACAGAGAAGAAAAGAGTGTGGTGGGGAGGAAATGGGGCGGAGGGAGGGAATGAAGAAGAGAAAGGAGTTCAGGGAGAGGAGTGAAGAAGGAGTAAGGAGAGAATAGAGGGGAGAGGAGGAGAGAGAGGAGAGAGGAGGGGAGAGAGGAGAGAGGAGGAGAGAGGTGGGACGCAGAGTTTAGGGGGATAAGGGGAAGGTTTGGAGGTGCAAGGTTGGAGGAACGAGCAAACCGTGGCACGCT